CAACTAGACTGTGAGATAGTAAACTTCTGTTTGTTAAAGCCATCCACTTGTTAAACAGCAGCACTAGATGACTACGACAAATGGGTGCAGAAGGTCCTCATTATATAAGTATTATTGGAACTAGAAAGAAGCCACTTAAATAAAACTACACAAAAGAAGAACTAGCATTTCACAATAAAAGGTGAAGGAGTGGAACTCATCTGGGAGTTTGTCATACTGTGGTGGCTTATGTGTTGTTATAATGCTAGAAAGCTATGCCACCAGTGTTTTAAATACCAGCAGGGTCACCCATGGTGGACAGGTTTCAGTGAAGCTTCCAGACTAAGACAGAGTAGGAAAAATAGACGTGGCGATCTACTTCTGAAAATTAGCCAATAAAAACCCTATGGATGAGAACAGAATATTGTCCGACTGGACTCAAACATGCCCATGATCATGAAAATGGTGCAGGATCAGGTAATATTTTTTTCTGTTATACATAGGGTCACCATTAGTCAGAGCTGCCTCAATAGCAGCTAACAACATCTTGAAAAATAAAGCAAACTAGTTTTGAAATTAAATTTATCTTATACTTAAATATTAAGGTACAGCTGTGTACATACATTAATTCTTAGAAGAAAAAACAATCAAGTGTTGAGAGTTTGTGGGGGCATATTTTTCAACAAAATGCTATGATAGTATGATAGTGCAGTACACTTTCTGTTTGATTTTTTTTAACATTGTCGTATAAAGTATAATTTTTGCAAAAAAAAAAACTACAGATTTTAGCTTTACCAAGAGAATCTTTTAAAACTGCATTCCACAATTCATTCTCCCTTGAAGCACCTACCAATGTTCTTAGTATACCTGTTGATTTTCGATTTTTGAATGGTGAGTCTAAATCTGATGTTCTTCCATTTTTCAGTGCCTTTACCTGTGATTTAAGCAAATCTCTATCACTTTCATTTTTCTCGTGAAATGCTAAATATTTTGCAAGCAATTTCAATTTGTATAATGCATTACATTTGGCCTGTATTATCAAGTGTCAGCCAGTGAGAAACAGCTCACAGACCTTGATGCTGAGGCAGAGATAGAGGCTAGTGCAGTGTGGGAAGGGAGAATGAGTGGAAATCAATTTTTAAAATAATTTTGTATCTATTGCTTTTATTATAAATTGCTTTCCTACATAATGCCATAACCAAACTGATTATAAAATGAAAGCTTAGAAAATGCAAACCTTCTGTATAACATGTTAAAGTCGAAGCTGCTTTGACACAATACTTGAGTGATTTTCACAGCTCCTTTGTGACACAGTGAACGTGTGTTGTTGTTACGTGACATCGAGTTGGTTCTGACTCATTGCAACCCTATGAACAACAGAATGAAGACTGCCCGGACCTGCACCATCCTCACAATCGTTGTTATGTTTGAGCACATTGTTACAGCCACTATGTCAATCCATCTCGTTGAGGGACTTCCTCTTTTTTGCTGACCCTCTATTTTGCCAAGTATGATGTCCTTCTCCAGGGACTGGAACTCCTGATAACACATACAATGTAGATGAAGTCTCATCATCCTTGCTTCTAAGGAACATTCTGGCTGCACTTCTTCCAAGACAGATTTGTTTGTTCTTCTGGCAATGCATGGTATATTCGGTATTATTCACTAATACCATAAATCAAAAGCATCAATTCTTCTTCGGTCTTTCTTATTCATTGTCCAGGTTTCTCATACACATGAAGCAATTGAAAATATTATGGCCTGGGTCAGCTGCATCTTTGCTTTTTAGCACTTTAAAGAGGTCTTTTGCGTAAGATTTGCCCAGTGCAATATGTCATTCGATTTCTTGATTGCTGTTTCCATTTGCATTGATTGTGGATTCAAGTAAAATGAAATCTTTGACTGCTTCTATATTTTCTCCATTTATCATGGTAGTAGCATTTGGTAATTGTCTTAGTTATCTAGTGCTGCTACAAGAGGAATACCACAAGTGGATGGTTTTAATGAAGAGAAGTTTATTTCCTCATAGTTAAAGTAGGCTAAAAGTCCAAATTCAGGGTGTCAGCTCCAGGGGAAGTCTTTCTCTCTCTGTTGGCCTTCTCATCAATGTTCACCCGGACTAGGAGCTTCTTTGCACAGGGACCCCGGTCCAAAGGATGCCCTCTGCTCCTGGCACTGCTTTCTTGATGGTATGAGGTCCCCCTGTCTCACTGCTCACTTCTCTCTTTTATATCTCAAGAGATTGCCTCAGGACACAATCCAGTCTTGTAGATCCAGTCCTGCCTTACTAACACAACTGCCACCCACCCTCCCTCATTAACATCATAGAGGCAGGATTTACAACACATAGGGAAATCACATAGTACCAGGAATCATGGCCCAGCCAAACTGATACACACATTTTTCGGGGGACATAATTCAAACCATGACAGTAATACTGCCAGATACTAGAAATTGAAATATCACTATATGACCAAACTGCTCTTCAAGATTTATAGTAAAGATAGGTATTCTGAAAGTAACTGTCTTAGGCTGGGTTCTCTAGAAAAGCAAAACCAGTGAAGTGTGTATATATGTATATATATATATATGTATATATTCAATAAATGATAGTTTAATAAGCAATGCAGTCACAACATTCTATATTCCCCTTTTATGAGAAAGACATAAAAGACAAGTAAACAAGGAGATATTAGGAATTTATATTCGTAAGTTCCAAGTATTTCCCTAGTGGTAGATATAAGTCAAACTCAATAAGATACAGTATATTTTGTAAGAGTACAAAAATTGGCTCTTATAATTCTATTATCAAAAAAGGATTTATTTAAGTACAGTGTCTTAGGGATATTTTATATTTGTTGTTTGATACCCCAATCTGCCATTGCTACCATACTAGAAAAAGATAGTACTTTTATACAGAAGTTTACAACTTTCAAAATATTTTGTATTTATTTACTCACTTAGTCAAAACAGAGTTTATGAGGTAGGAATACTGAGCCTCAGAGAGGTACAGTAGATAATTCAAGGTTTTATGACCAGTATATTTTAGAATCCTTCATTAAAATCAACTCTTCAGATTCTCAACTTCATATTCATTTCAAACTGACTAGTGAATGTTATTCTCTATTCTGAATAGCATAGAACTTGAGATATGTTTCATCTGAAAAATTCGATTTTCTTATAATAAAATTTTCAGACTTCATCACTCTTCTAATACTATATACATTGAGATGAAATCTATAAATTTCGTAACAAAATCAAGGTCTATATACAAAACACTTGATACGATACTTATGTTTTCAAAATGAGCTTAAAGTTTTTTAAAGAAAAAAACAGCATTTGTAGTTCAACTAAATACAAATCAAAAATACTTGCTCTCATTGCAGCACTGTTCACAATAGTAAAATGATGGAAACAACCCAGATGCCCGTCAACAGATGAATGGATATACAAACTATGGTACATACACACAATGGATTACTGTGCAAAGATAAAGAACAATGATGGATCTGTGAAGCATCTCATAACACAGATGAAACTGGAGAACATTATGCTGAGTGAAATAAGTCAATCACAAAAGAACAAATATTGTATGAGACCTCTATTGTAAAAACTCAGGTAAATGTTTATACACAAAAAGAAACAATCTTTGTTGGTTACAAGGGATGGGGGGAACTAAATAGACAATAGATAAGTGATAACTTTGGTGAAGGGTACAACAGTACACAATACTGGGGAAGCCAGCACAAGTTGTACAAGGAAATGTCATGGAAGCTCCGTAGACACATCCAAACTCCCTGAGGGAGTGAATTGCTGGGTGGAGGGCTGTGGGGACCATGGTCCCGGGGAACATCTAGCTCAATTGGCATAACACAATTTATAAACATAATGTTCTACATTCTACCTTGGTGAGTAGGGTCTGGGGTCTTAAAAGCCTGTGAGCAACCATCTAAGATACTCCACTGGTCTCAACCATTTCGGAGCAAGGGAGAATGAAGAGAACAGGGGACAAGAAAAAGATCAGTCCAAAGGACTAATGGACCACAGCTACTAAGGCCTCCACCGGACTGAGTCCAGTACAGCTAGATGGTGCCCGGCTACCACCACTGACTGCTCTGACCGGGATCACAACAGAGGGTTCTGGACAGAGCTGGAGAAGGATGTTGAACAAAATTCTAACACACGCACAAAAAGACCAGATTTACTGGCCTGAAAGACTGGAGAAACTCCAGAAGTATGGCTCCCAGACACACTTTTAGCTCAGTGGTGAAGTCACTTCCGAGGTTCACCGTTCAGCCAGGGATTGGACAGCCCCATAAAACAAAATGGGACTAATGAGGCACCGCAGGCCAGGGACAGGGACAAGAAGGCGGGGGGGGCAGGAAAGCTGGTGATAGGGAACCCAAGGTTGAGTAAGGACAGTGTTGACACGTAGTGGGGTTGTTAACCTTGTCATAGGGCAACATGTGTACTGTTTAATGAGAAACTATTTTGTTCTGTAAACCTCATCTAAAGTGAGAACAGCAGCACAACTGGAAGAACGTACTCAATGTCACTGAATTGTGCATGTAGAAATTTTTGAAATGGTGTCATCTTTGGCTATGTCTATTTTCACCAAAAAAAAAAAAAAAAGGGAGAGTGTTGACATGTTGTGGGGTTGTCAGCCAATGTCATAAAACAGTATGTGTACTGACTGTTTAATGAGAAACTATTTGTTCTGCAAACCTTCATCCAAAGTACAATTTAAAAAAAAATAAAAAAAATACTTGCTCTGCAGGACCTAAGTTTTTCTCAGAAAGGTTCAAGAAGGTCACTTCTATCCCATTCCTCTTCTCTATTATCTCATTGGAAGAACTGAAGAGATTCTATCACCCTTCAATAGGATAGCTATGCTGGGGTGCTTTTTTTGTTGCTGCTAGTGGTGGTTTTGTTTTGTTTTTTTTTTTTTGTGTGTGTGTGTGTGTGTGTGTGTGAGTTTCAATTTTTCCTCTTTTTTTGTGTGTATGTGTATCTTAGCTCTAATAAGAAATAGGAGTTTATATATATATTAATCACTTATGATTCTTGTCAATCCTATGCCTTAGCTTATCTAGAAATCAAATTTAACTAGGGAAACTGTATTTTCACTTACTAAGTCTGGCAACTCTACCCTAGGAAATACCCCTATAGTCTTTCCACCAAACCGCATTAAGCCAAGTATAACTTTTTTTTTTTTTTTAATTGCAAAACCCTGCATTAGGGCAGAGAGGCAAGTATGGGAACTTCTCTAAGAGCTGTCAATCACTGCAGGGAATAATCCTAGGTCTGAGTTTGTTCTCACTCTGGATGTCAAGGTCTGAGAGCAGAGCTGTGTAAGTTTAGAGAACAGAAGGTCATAGATATCAAAAATGAGAACTAGCTGGAATCCAGATCACCATTTACTGAACAAACTTGAGATACTTACCTCTAGGCAGGAGCTAGAAATCCAGGTAAAATGGAAACTCTGGATTGCAAACAAAGCAATTACATCACAGAAAGATCTAAAAGAGGAACTGAGATAAACAGATTCTTATATTTGGAAAGGTAATCTAAAAACATCCTTTCATCATCTTCATAGTTCCCTCAGAAACAGTGAAAATTCAAGCAGCAGCTGCAGATAGTAATTTATATGTATCTACCTATGAGCTTCTGTGAGGGCCATGGCCAATGCAAGATGGTTCCTGCCCACATAGGACTCTGGGAGAGAACCAGATTACCTTACTGAGAAAGTAACCTGGGCCAAAAAAAAAAAAACCAAATGGCCTGACTGCATGATGACATCAATTGAAACTCATTGACTGGTACAAAAATAGCTCCATCCTCCATAGATTAGACATGTTTTTTCCTGGTTCCCCTGCATGTATCTTTGCACATAGGCACATTCTTCTCCCAAATTGTTAGACAGTAAATAAACCCACACCCCACACTGCCCTTCACAGACCCAGGTGCGACGCGATGCTTCTCTGTCTGTGACGAGAATCTTGGCGTCAACCTCTGTATGTAATAAGTTCCCTAGTAAAGCTTTGTCTGATAGATGTGCCTTTTACTCTCTCTGTTTTTCGAATCTGAGCTATGCCCCTCAGAGCCACTCCTGCCGCTGGTCTAGTAGGGTGTGACAGCTTTTGAAGATAAGTTAGGGCTTTGCTGTTTCATCTGGGCATATGTGTCTGGTTTGGAACAAATCCACTTCCTTTCTGTGTAGCTCCGAGCACTACTGACACCGTTGTCAGTCAGATAGGCACACTCTCCTTCTCCTCTGGAGTGAAGCCTGTAACAGAATAAGCAAAATCCATCAGTTGGCCACTAGACATTTTTTTAAAACAGAGGGAACAAAGACGAGAAAAGAAGGAAACTAACATTAATTCAACCTCTAAATGTCAGATGCTTTACAACACATATTATCTCTTTGATATTAGCAATTACCCTGGGAGGTATGTATCTCCCTTTTATAGCCAAGAAAAGTGAATTCCTCAACTTTGTTGTTGTTTGCTGCCATCAGTTGCCCCTGATTCATGGTGACCCCAACTACAACAGGATGGGACTGTTGTAAGCCATAGGGCTTTCATTGGCTGCTAGTAAAACTATGACTCCCACCTAGGCCGATGAGACTACATACAGGGCCTCAGCTACTTCCACCTGTTCATGTTAGGAAAAGACAAAATGAAGATGTGTTGCTCTGTCACAGGTAATTTTTATTGTTGTTCACAGGCCCTGATTTTTCTCCTGGCTTATGGTACTGATCAAGAAGCCCTGGTGGGCAATGGTTAAGCACTCAGCTGCTAACCGAAAGGTCAGTGGTTGAAACCTACCAGCCACTCCGCAGGAGAAAAGGCCTGGTGATCTGCTCCCATAAAGATTACATCCTAGGAAACCATACGGGGGGAGTTCTACCCTGTCCTATAGGGTCACCATGAGTTGGAATTGACTTGACTGCACACAACAGCAAACAACAGCATGGTACTGATCACTGTTCAGTGGACTTTGGTGAGCAGGAGACAAAATAAATCACCTATAGTGACAACGTAGAGTAGTGAATCAAACTTATATCTATAAGCATAGTGTTCTTTGGTGGGAGAGGTCTGACATCCATTTTCTCTCCAGAGTCTCAGCAATGTTCTGCTTCTTTAAATAGCTAAAGACCTCAGCAGCTTTTTCTAAGCCCCAGGTTCTATCATCGCCTTCTTACTCCCCTGGTTATCCTAGGGTTGCAGCTGCCGTAGGCTGAGCTGAGCTTAAATAGCCTGACACAGACATCTTAGGTCAGCAGTCAGATTATAAAGTCCTCCTCTTCACTTGCTAAAAATTGTTATCGTCTGATATGATTTGCTAATTGTTAAAACATATTAGGCCCTAAAAATGTATTTTCCATTTCTATATAATGAACAGCTTCCAACAACTAGTTCACAATATATTTGACCCTTTAAACACTTTCGGAATTAGTCAGATTAAACATTACTATTTCCATATTGTAAAAGAAGAAACAAAGGTGAATTATAAATATTTATCCAACACCCACTATGGGCTAGACATTGTAGATACAGCAGAATAAATGAATGTTCTGTCTGACTTTTAAAGCTTACCATATTGTCCAAGATCAAAAAGGTAATAAATGCTAAAGCAAGAACAAGGTTTCAAACCTACCGATGCCTAGTCCATTGCTCTTTCCACTAAATAAAGTTGTCTTCCCAATAGTGTCAATGTTACCATCATAAAACAGCTTTTAAAAACTTCCTCATCTCCTCAGACAAGCAAATATTTATTGAAATTGTCTGAATCCCAGTCTTCTATCATTATCCAAAATGTTTTCAATACTGTAAAGATCTTATAACATACAACAGTGCCAACCTTTACCTCTTCCTAAACATTACAACTATGGTCTTACCATGAATAAGAGGTAGGAAGAAACATCCATTGCTGTCACTAACAATTCCCCTGTAAATGGCTGAAGATTGATCCAGTGGTAGTTTCATATAATAAAGTAACTTGCATTTATATATACAATCTTTTAAAGTTTAAGAAGTACATTCAGATACATCAGAACCTCTGATCTTCACATCCACCCTGTGGTATCAATAGGATGAGTACTATTGTTTTTACTGTATATGTGAAGAGACAGACTTAAAGAGCTTGTGTGGTTTGCTCAAGATGAAACGGCCTCTAAATGACATAAACAGGCTGGAACCAAGCTTGCAGTCATTCTACCTCACCACATCACCTGTGATTGAGAAGCCTGCAAACTTTTACAACATACAAACTGTTACTATCTTCCTTTACGCTATTACAAAAATAAGAAATTTTAGTTTTCATGCAAAGTAAATTCAAATACAAGTATCTCTGCCAGAATTTTCAAAACTTACCGTGTGGGCAATTCAGTGCCATTTTTCCATTTCCAGGGTTGGCTTTGTTTTCTTTTCAGCCCAATCCAGTGGTCAGAGGGGCCCTTATACCGCAACAGGAATTCCTTTCAGAAAACACAGAGGTGTTATTCATTGACCTGACATTACCCAGCCTTTCCTAGAAAAAGTATTGCTTCTATGCTACATTTTTAGACACTCTTATAATTTTTTTCTTTTGTCTTTTATAATAATATGCAGAGAATATGTATGCCACATTATCATACCTAGAGAAGATTCAAAACCAAAATTGTAAATAACTTATTTGTTTTTTTTTAAAAAAAAAACTTGTTTGATTGAATCAGGCAGTGTTTCCGTTTGCGGAAGTTAGTTCCTTCCACTTCAGTGTTTCCGGCTTCAAAATGGTACCCTCAGTGATCTAGTAAGACTTAGTCCACATTTTTCCATCCACATCGGTTTTTTTTTTGTTTGTTTGTTTGTTTTAACCTGGATGTGACGCATTAAAGGAGCCGACGAAAATATAGCTGTAGGCTTTCTAAGATGGCGAACCGTACGGTGAAGGATGCACACAGCATCCACGGCACCAACCCTTAATATCTAGTGGTGAAGATCATTCGGACGCGCATCTATGAGTCCAAGTACTGGAAAGAGGAATGCTTTGGACTTACAGCTGAACTTGTAGTTGATAAAGCCATGGAGTTAAGGTTTGTGGGTGGCGTTTATGGCAGCAACATAAAGCCAACTCCTTTTCTGTGTTTGACCTTGAAGATGCTGCAAATTCAACCCGAGAAGGATCATTGTAGAAATTATCAAAAATGAAGACTTCAAGTATGTCCGCATGTTGGGGGCACTTTACATGAGGCTGACAGGCACTGCAATTGATTGCTACAAGTACTTGGAGCCTCTGTACGAGGACTATCGGAAAATCAAGAGCCAAAACCGAAATGGGGAATTTGAACTGATGCATGTGGATGAGTTTATTGATGAGCTACTGCATAGTGAGAGAGTCTGTGACATTATTCTGCCCCGACTACAGAAACGCTGTGTGCTAGCGGAAGCTGAACAATTGGAGCCTCGGGTTAGCGCCCTAGAAGAGGACATGGATGACGTGGAGTCCAGTGAAGAGGAGGAAGAGGAAGATGAGAAGTTGGAGAAAGTGCCATCACCTGATCACCGCCGGAGAAGCTACAGAGACTTGGACAAGCCCCGTGGCTCTCCCACACTGCGATACAGGAGAAGTAGGAGCCGGTCTCCCAAAAGGAGAAGCCCCCCGCCTCGCCGAGAAAGGCGTAGGAGCAAGAGCCCAAGACGTCATCGCAGTAGGTGTCGAGATCGACCGCACAGATCCCGCTCTAAGTCCCCAGGTCATCACCGTAGTTACAGACACAGGAGCCACTCAAAGTCCCCTGAAAGGTCTAAGAAAAGCCACAAGAAGAGCCAGAGAGGGAATGAATAATGAACTCAGATTTCAGTCCAGATGGCCTCCTGTGGTTAGGAGAGTATCTGTCTATGTGGAAGGATTAAGATTTGTTCCCTAGGCAGCTATGAAAATATTCTAGTTTTTTCTTACTGAGTTTTTCCACCATTTTTTTTTAAAGGAAAGAGGTGCTGAACATTGTGAAGATACCCATTTTTGAATCATAACCCACATGTTTGGAGATAATGTTTCCTAAGGGCTGCTTTTGACTGTTTTGTACACCCAACCTTGATCGTAGCCAGACTGAATTTATGAAGGTATGAAGGATATTGGGGGGAGGGGTATATGGATAACAGGGAAAGGATGTGGCCATCTGCTGACCCTTTTTTTGTTATTAAACCTGACGCCCGTTTCCAAAAAAAAAAAAAAAACTCGTTTTTATTTCTTCATAGTATTCCTTTGCATGACTATTCCACAATTTGTTTATCCAGTCTACTACTGGTTGGCACTTGAGTTGTTTCATGTTTGGGTTTATTATAAATGACGTTATGACACCCTTGGTACCTGCCTTAGAATGGAATTGTTAGGCAACAAGCCATGCTTATTTTCAGCTTTACCAAATGACACCAAACTTTTCTAATGTAGTTGTACCAAATTATATTCACACCAACAGTGTAGGCCAATTTCCTTTGCCAATGCTTACAGTCATTTTTTAATGATGTAAAAATAAATATAACACATTTGCCAATTCAACGTTTTTCACGTGAACAATCTAGTGACACCAGTTACATTAATCACATTGTGCAATATCCCCCAAAATCACTGATTACAGGTTCTTAATTTTAAGGTCATTGAGTGTATCAGTATTTTCCTTTATGACGAATAAATTTAGCGACATCTTAGGGAAATTCTTTATCTCTTGAGGTGATAAACATACTTTTATATATTATTTTTATCATTTTTATAGTTTCATCTTTTTTTTTTTTAAATATTTTATTGTACTTAAGGTGAAGGCTTACAGAACAGATAGTTTCTCATGTAACAGTAACACACATGCTGTTTTATGACATTGGTTAACAACCCCACAACATTTTAACCCTCTAAATTCTCAACTTTTTTTTTTTTTTTTTTGGTGAAAATACACATAGCCAAAGATACGCCATTTCAAAAATTTTTTTTACATATACATTTAGGTGACATTGACTACGCTCTTCTAATTGTGCTGTTATTCTCACTTAAGATGTATAGTTTCATCTTTTATGTTTAGGTCTCTGATTCCATGTATAGTGTAAGGTATGATTTCTTTTCATTTTTTTTCCAAGTGGATAGCTAACTTACTGACCATATGCTCACAAACCCATCCTTTCCTCAATGATCAGCCGTATCATCTTTGGCATATATCAAGCAACCATATGTATGTATTTCTTTTTTTTTAAATTTTTTTATTGTATTTTAGATGAAGGTTTACAGAACAAATAGTTTCTCTTTAAACAGTACACATATTGTTTTATGATATTGGTTAACAACCCCACAAAAATATCAACATTCCCCCTTCTCGACCTTGGGTTCCCTATTATCGGGTTTCCCGTCCCTTCCTGCCTTCTAGTCCTTGTCCTGGGCTGTTGTATCCCATTAGTCTCTTTTTGTTTAATGGGCCTGCCTAATCTTTGGCTGAAGGGTGAACCTCGGGAGTGACTTCATGGCTGAGCTAAAAGTGTGTCTGGGGGCCATACTCTCGGGGTTTCTCCAGTCTCTCTGTCAGGCCATCAGGCCAGTAAGTCTGGTCTTTCTTTGTGAGTTAGAATTTTGTTCTACATTTTTCTCAAGCTCTGTACGGGACCCTCTGTTGTGATCCTTGTCAGAGCAGTCAGTGATGGTGGCCAGGCACCATCTATTTATACTGGACTCAGACTGTTGGAGGCCATGGTAGTTGTGGTCTATTAGTCCTTTGGGCTAATCTTTCCCTTCTGTTTTTGGTTTTCTTCATTTTCCTTTGCTCCTGAAGGAGTGAGACCAGTGCAGAATCTTAGATGGCTGCTCACAGGCTTTTAAGACCCCAAACGCTACTCACCACTGTAGAATGTAGAACGTTTTGTTTATCAACTATGTTATGTCAATTGAGCTAGATGTTCCCCGAGACCATGGTCCCCACAGCCCTCAGCCCAGCAATTCCGTCCCTCAGGGAGTTTCAATGTGTCTATGGAGCTTGCATAACCTTGCCTTGTGCAAGTTGTCCTGGCTTCTCTGCTATTGTGTACTGTCTTAACCTTCACCAAATTTACTACTTAGGTATTGTCTATTTAGTGTTTCCCCCCACCCCTCCCCTCCCTGATAACCATCAAAGATGGTTTCTTCTTGTGTGTAAACTTTTTCATGAGTTTTTACAATAGGTCTCATACAATCTTTGTCCTTCTGTTATTGACTTACTTCACTCAGCGTAATCCCCTCCAGATTCCTCCATGTTACGAGATGCTTCGCAGATTCATCACTGTTCTTTCTCATTGTTTAATACTCCATTGTGTGTATGTACCATAGTTTGTTTATCCATTCTTCTGTTGATGGACATCTAGGTTGTTTCCATTTTTTTGCTGTTACGAACAATGCTGCAGTGAACATGGGTTTGCATATGCCTACTCGTGTGACGACTCTTATTTCTCTAGGATATATTCCTAGGCATAGGATTGCTGCATCATATGGAATTTCTATTTCTAGCTTTCTAAGGAAGTACCATATTGTTTTCCAAAATGGTTGTACCATTTTGCATTCCCACCAGCAGTGCATAAGTGTTCCGATCTCCTTGCAGCCTCTTCAACCTTTGTTTTTTCTTGTTTTTTTTAATTAGTGCCAGTAATGCCAGGGTGAGATGGTATCTCATTGTGGTTTTGATTTGCGTTTCTCTAATGGCTAGAGATCACGAGTATTTCCTTACATGTCTGTTGGCCGCTTCAATGTCTTCTTTGGTGAAGTGTCTGTCCATTTCCTTTGCTCATATTTTAATTGGATTATTTATCTTTTTGTTGTAGAGATGTTGTATTTTCTTGAAGATTTTAGAGATTACACCTTTCTCTGATTTGTAACGACCAAAATTTTTTTCCCAGTCTATGGGTTCTCTTTTTATTCTTTTGTGAAGTCTTTTGAAGAGCATAAGTGTTTAATTTTTAGAAGATCCCAGTTATCTAGCTTATCTTCTGTAGTTTTTGTGTTGTTTGTTATGATTTGTGTCCTGTTAATGCTGCGTATTAGGGCCTCTAGCGTTAACCCTATTTTTTCTTCTATGAACTTTATAGTTGTTGGCTTTATATTTAGGTCTTTGATCTATTTTGAATTAGTTTTTTTATATGGTGTGAGATATGGGTCCTGTTTCATTTTTTTGCAGATGGATATCCAGTTTTGCCATGACAATTTGTTAAAAAGACTGTCTTTTCCCTATCTGATGGATTTTGGGCCCTTGTTGAAGATCAGGTGACCATAGGTGGAGGCATTTACATCCAAGTTCTCAATTCTGTTCCATTGGTCAACGTGTCTGTCATTGTACCAGTACCAGGCTGTTGTGACTCCCGTAGCTATATAGTAGGTTCTGAGATCAGGTAGTGCAAGTCCTCCTACTTAATTCTTCTTCTCTTTCCGTATAAAGTTAATGGTAAGTTTTTCCATCTCTTTAAACAATGTTGTTGGTATTTGATCGAGATT